TAACCGGGGCCTGGGCAATCCCTCCCCCATAACCGGGCCTGGGCAATCCCTCTCACATAACGGGGCCTGGGCAATCCCTCTCCCATAACCGGTCCTGGGCAATCCCTCCCCCATAACCGGGCCTGGGCAATCCCTCCCCCATAACCGGGCCTGGGCAATCCCTCCCCCATAACCGGCCTGGGCAATCCCTCCCCCATAACCGGGCCTGGGCAATCCCTCCCCCATAACCGGGCCTGGGCAAATCCCCCCCATAACCGGTCCTGGGCAATCCCTCCCCCATAACCGGGCCTGGGCAATCCCTCCCCCATAACCGGGCCTGGGCAATCCCTCCCCCATAACCGGGCCTGGGCAATCCCTCCCCCATAACAATCCCTCAAGGCCAATGGCTCGCTAAAGGCAGATTCAACAACCCTCCTCTCCAGGGCCTTCCTAGGAAGAGATTTAATTTCCTCCGCCGTCACTCACCATTGCCGAAGCATTTTCAGACATGGGGCAACATAAGCCAGGAGCTTACCATGTTGGACCCTCAGGCTTTTCACCGGCCCACCATTCTCCCAGCTCCGCAGAAAAGGCCTAAACCGGACTGAAAAATACCAACCCACCCAGGCGGTTCCTCTGCCAGCATGCTACCAAAATTATGTTTCAAAAACATCAGAGAAAAGAAAACCACCGGGGTCACCATACCTAGGCCACCCATCCGCCTGGGAAGGTAGGTTACAGACCTCTTAATGAGGTTCAGTCTGTTCCCCCCCATAACAGCTGGAAGAAACAACTGTAGATCCTCGCATAGAGAGACACTGGAACACAGACAAAGCCGACATACAGAAATACCGGATCAGGTAAGTTTTCATCAGGTCAATCCTTTCCCTGGAAGAGAGCTTCCAACCCTTCCAGCTGGCCACCTGGGCATCGGCATCTTGTAGCCGGCTTACCCAATGTGCAAGGCCGTAATCACCGGAACCAAATCTGATGCCTAAAACTTTAATTTCCTGCTGGGGCTCTGGGAAGGCATCCGGAAGGGTAAAGCCTTCGCCTTCCTCTCCCATCCAGAAAACCTCACTCTAGAAGAGGTCAGCAGGTCTTCACAATACCTCCAGTATAGAAGTATGAGGGATCATCCAATAGGACGGAATGGGGGAGAATTCCTGAGACCTATACACTTCACTTCACCCCCTAAATCTATGTCAGTGCTCAGTGATGGAACAGCATACTGCTCCATCACTGAGACCACCTCCTCCGCCTCCCACCTCAGCGTACTGTTCCATCACCGAAACCACCTCCCCCGCCTCCTGCCTCAGCATACTGTTCCATCACCGAGACCACCTCCTCCACCTCCTGCCTCAGCGTACTGTTCCATCACCGAGACCACCTCCTCCACCTCCTGCCTCAGCGTACTGTTCCATCACCGAGACCCCCTCCTGCCTCAGCATACTGTTCCATCACCGAAACCCCCTCCTCCGCCTCCTGCCTCAGCGTACTGTTCCATCACCGAAACCCCCCCTCCTCCGCCTCCCGCCTCAGCGTACTGTTCCATCACCGAAACCCCCCCCTCCTCCGCCTCCCGCCTCAGCGTACTGTTTCCCATCACCGAAACCCCCTCCTCCGCCTCCCGCCTCAGCGTACTGTTCCATCACCGAGACCACCTCCTCCGCCTCCCGCCTCAGCGTACTGTTCCATCACCGAGACCACCTCCCCCGCCTCCTGCCTCAGCGTACTGTTCCATCACCGAGACCACCTCCCCCGCCTCCTGCCTCAGCGTACTGTTCCATCACCGAGACCACCACCTCCGCCTCCTGCCTCAGCGTACTGTTCCATCACCACCGAGACCACCTCCTCCGCCTCCTGCCTCAGCATACTGTTCCATCACCGAGACCACCACCTCCGCCTTCCGCCTCAGCATACTGTTCCATCACCGAGACCACCTCCCCCACCTCCTGCCTCAGCATACTGTTCCATCACCGAGACCACCACCTCCGCCTCCTGCCTCAGTGTACTGTTCCATCACCGAGACCACCTCCCCCGCCTCCCGCCTCAGCGTACTGTTCCATCACCGAGACCACCACCTCCGCCTCCCGCCTCAGCGTACTGTTCAATCACCGAGACCCCCCTCCTCCACCTCCTACCTCAGCATACTGTTCCATCACCGAGACCACCACCTCCTCCACCTCCTCCTGCTTCAGCATACTGTTCCATCACTGAGACCACCTCCTCCGCCTCCTGCCTCAGCATACTGTTCCATCACCGAGACCACCTCCTGCCTCAGCGTACTGTTCCGTCACTGAGACCTCCTCCTCTGCCTCCTGCCTCAGCGTACTGTTCCATCACCGAGACCACCTCCTCCGCCTCCTGCCTCAGCATACTGTTTCCATCAGCGAGACCACCTCCCTCCTCCTCCTCCTGCCTCAGTGTACTGTTCCATCACCGAGACCACCTCCTCCACCTCCTGCCTCAGCATACTGTTCCATCACCGAGACCACCTCCTCCCACCTCCTGCCTCAGCGTACTGTTCCATCACCGAGACCACCTCCTCCACCTCCTGCCTCAGCGTACTGTTCCATCACCGAGACCCCCTCCTGCCTCAGCATACTGTTCCATCACCGAAACCCCCTCCTCCTCCGCCTCCTGCCTCAGCGTACTGTTCCATCACCGAACCCCCTCCTCCGCCTCCCGCCTCAGCATACTGTTCCATCACCGAAACCCCCTCCTCCTCCGCCTCCCGCCTCAGCGTACTGTTCCATCACCGAAACCCCCTCCTCCTCCGCCTCCCGCCTCAGCGTACTGTTCCATCACCGAGACCACCTCCTCCGCCTCCCGCCTCAGCGTACTGTTCCATCACCGAGACCACCTCCCCCGCCCTCCTGCCTCAGCGTACTGTTCCATCACCGAGACCACCACCTCCGCCTCCTGCCTCAGCGTACTGTTCCATCACCGAGACCACCTCTCCTCCGCCTCCTGCCTCAGCATACTGTTCCATCACCGAGACCACCACCTCCGCCTTCCGCCTCAGCATACTGTTCCATCACCGAGACCACCTCCTCCGCCTCCTGCCTCAGCGTACTGTTCCATCACCCGAAACCACCACCCCCCGCCTCCTGCCTCAGCATACTGTTCCATCACCGAGACCACCACCTCCGCCTCCTGCCTCAGTGTACTGTTCCATCACCGAGACCACCTCCCCCGCCTCCCGCCTCAGCGTACTGTTCCATCACCGAGACCACCACCTCCGCCTCCCGCCTCAGCGTACTGTTCAATCACCGAGACCCCCCTCCTCCACCTCCTGCTTCAGCATACTGTTCCATCACTGAGACCACCTCCTCCGCCTCCTGCCTCAGCATACTGTTCCATCACCGAGACCACCTCCTCCTGCCTCAGCGTACTGTTCCGTCACTGAGACCCTCCTCCTCTGCCTCCTGCCTCAGCGTACTGTTCCATCACCGAGAGACCACCTCCTCCGCCTCCTGCCTCAGCATACTGTTCCATCAGCGAGACCCACCTCCTCCTCCTCCTGCCTCAGTGTACTGTTCCATCACCGAGACCACTCCTCCTCCACCTCCTGCCTCAGCGTACTGTTCCATCACCGAGACCACCACCACCCTCCTCCTCCTGCCTCAGCGTACTGTTCCATCACCGAGACCACCACCTCCTCCACCTCCTGCCTGCCTCAGCATACTGTTCCATCATCACCGAGACCACCTCCTCCACCTCCTACCTCAGCATACTGTTCCATCACCGAGACCACCCACCTCCTCCACCTCCTGCCTCAGCATACTGTTCCATCACCGAGACCACCTCCTCCGCCTCCTGCCTCAGCATACCGTTCCATCACCGAGACCACCTCCTCCGCCTCCCGCCTCAGCGTACTGTTCCATCACCGAGACCACCTCCTCCGCCTCCCGCTTCAGCGTACTGTTCCATCACCGAGACCACCTCCTCCCGCCTCAGCATACTGTTCCATCACCACCGAGACCACCCCTCCTCCGCCTCCTGCTTCAGCATACCGTTCCATCACCGAGACCACCTTCACCTTCTGCCTCAGCGTAAAGACCACCTCCTCCACCTCCTGCCTCAGCGTACCGTTCCATCACCGAGACCACCTCCTCCACCTCCTGCCTCAGCGTACTGTTCCATCACCGAGACCACCTCCCCCACCTCCTGCCTCAGTATACTGTTCCATCACCGAGACCACCTCCCCCACCTCCTGCCTCAGCGTACTGTTCCATCACCGAGACCACCTCCCCCCACCTCCTGCCTCAGCGTACTGTTCCATCACCGAGACCACCTCCCCCACCTCCTGCCTCAGCGTACTGTTCCATCACCGAGACCCCCCTCCTGCCTCAGCATACTTTTCCATCACCGAGACCACCTCCTCCGCCTCCTGCCTCAGCGTACTGTTCCATCATCGAGACCACCTCCTCCGCCTCCTGCCTCAGTGTACTGTTCCATCACCGAGACCCCCTCCTCCGCCTCCTGCCTCAGCGTACTGTTCCATCACCGAGACCCCCTCCTCCGCCTCCTGCCTCAGCGTACTGTTCCATCACCGAGACCACCTCCTCCACCTCCTGCCTCAGCGTACTGTTCCATCACCGAGACGCACACCTGAGCCAACCTCAAAGGGTCGTCCATCCAACCATTCACACAAGCATGAAGCTTTCAGCCCCTCTGTATAAGGTCTTTAGCCAATCGATGAAGCCCCCCTCCAGGCCATACTTGCCAAAAAGCAGCCATAGGTACTCATGATTGACTCGATCAAAAGCTTTAGCCTGATCCAATGCCAGCAGGAAACTGTCCCCAGCCTGCAGCCCTGCACCGCTCCAGGGCCTCCCGGACAGCTAACACCGCTGAAAAAGTGCTTCTTCCCTGAACCGAACAGTGCTGATGGCGAGAAAGTAATTCGCCCGCAACAGACGATAGACGCCATTAGAGTGTAAGCTCCTCTGGTACAGAGACTGATGTGACTCCTCTGGTATAGGACAGGTCCTCTTTCCCAGGATGGTACGTACCTGAAGTCGGGGGAGATGTGGAAATCTTTGTGCTCATCTTTACAAATGATGCGAAATTCAAAATCCTGCCTCAGCTGTACTGTGTATCAGGAGACCGATATCCCCCGTCCTCGCTCAGCAGCTGTTCCATCACAACCACCCTCCCCCACCCTACAGACCGTAGCGTACTGTTCCATCACCGATATGTACCTCCCCACCTCCTGCTCTCAGCGTACTGTTCCATCACCTTTGAGCACCACCTCCCTCCACCTCCTGCCTCAGCGTACTGTTCCATCAGCCACAGAACCCCTCCTCCTCAGCCTCCTCACACAAGACGGGGGCGCTGCTCCAGCTTCACTTTTCCAGATCACCGAGACAACCTCCCGCTCCTGCCTCACACGTACTGTTCCATCACCGAGACACACCTCCTCCGCCTCCTGCTTCTCTGTACTGCTCCACAGACCGAGACCCCCTCCTCCGCTCCTGTCAGCACACCGCTGTTCCATCACACGAGACCCCCTCCCCCCGCTCCTGCCTCAGCGCACCTGTTCCACACGAACCCAGAGGGGGGCCTCCTGCCTCACGCGCAACTGTTCCATCACCAGAGCACACCTGAAGCCGAACCTCCGATGTCATCCAACCTCACATCTCTATCCATGAAACTGCCTTTTTCAATGTCAACAAGCATGGCTTCAGCTCTGTATAAACAAGCCCAATCCAGCCCCTGAGTTCCATTCCTTGCCAAGATAGCAGCAATAGTACTCATGATTGACTCGATCAAAAGCTTTAGCCTATCCAACAGCAGGAACTGTCCCCAGCTGCAGGTCTCTGCACCGCTCCCAGGGCCTCCCGAGACGAGTAACACCGCTGACAAAAGTGCTTCTTTCCTGAACCCCCCCTGAAGAAAGTTAATTCGCCCAAACACACAGATAGGGCCATTAGAGTGTAAGCTCCCTCTCCGTACAGGAGACCAATGTGACTCCTCTGGTATAGGACAGGTCCTCTTACAGCCCAGGATGGTACGTACCTGAAGTCATCAGGAGATGTGGAAATGCTTTGTGCTCCGCATTACAATGATGCGGAAAGGGGGCAGGACTCCTCCCATACTGCAGTTAGAGGGAGGATATACTCCATCAGTACACCTGCTGTGTCCTCCTGGATAATTGAGGCTGGTTTTTCCCTGATGGAGTTACCACCCAACACACAGTCTCCACACAGGCAACACTGGTCCATCTTCTCTCAACAGGGGATATGCTACACAGCAAGCCTCCGCACCCTTCTGCCTCCGCTCACACAAGGGGCGCTCTGCTCCGCGCACACAAGGGGGCGGTCTGCTCCGCTAGACAAGAGGGGGCGCTCTGTTGAGTCCCCGCACACAGGAGAAACTCTGCTCCGCTCAGTGAATGGAAAGGAATATGGCGAGGATCTGCTCCGCAGCACGCTCAAGGGGGTGCTCCCCCCATCACAACAAGACGGCGCCCCTGCTCCGCGCACACAAGGGGGGAGCTCTGCTCCGAGGATCCCCCACAGGGGGGGCGCTCCCCCGCTCACACAAGGGGGGCGCTCTGCTCCGCGCACACAAGGGGGGGCCTCTGCTCCGCGCACACAAGGGGGCGCTCTGCCTTTTTTTTTGGGCTCCAGAGAAAGGACACAGCAAATGCACCGGCTGACATCTTTCTGCAAGCCCGCGAAATGAAATGGGGTCGGCTCCCGTACAGCGACAATGTTAACCCAATCAGTAGATGACCCGTTGGGTGTCCCCCCAATGGATGGGAGAAATGAAATGAGGATCCCCCATACAGCCCAATTCCCCCCCCCCCCCATCAGTAGAGGACTCGCTGTGTCCCCCCCATGGATGAGAAATGAAATGAGGATACCCCCCCATACAGCCCAATTCCCCCCCCCCCCCATCAGTAGAGGACTCGCTGTGTCCCCCCCATGGATGAGAAATGAAAATGAGGATCCCCCATACAGCCCAATTCCCCCCCCCCCCCCATCAGTAGAGGACCTCGCTTGTGTCCCCCCATGGATGAGAAATGAAATGAGGATCCCCCATACAGCCCAATTCCCCTCCCCCATCAGTAGAGGACTCGCTGTGTCCCCCCATGGATGAGAAATGAAATGAGGATCCCCCATACCCCAATTCCGCTCCCCCCATCAGTAGAGGACTCGCTGTGTCCCCCCATGGAAGAGAAATGAAATGAGGATCCCCCCATACAGCCCAATTCCTCCCCCCCATCAGTAGAGGACACTCGCTGCCCCCCCCCATGGAAGAGAAATGAAATGAGGATCCCCATACAGCCCAATTCCCCCCCCCCCCCCCATCAGTAGAGGACTCGCTGCCCCCCCTCATGGAAGAGAAATGAAATGAGGATCCCCATACAGCCCAATTCCCCCCCCCCCCATCAGTAGAGGACTCGCTGCCCCCCCCCATGGATGAGAAATGAAATGAGGATCCCCATACAGCCCAATCCTCCCCCCATCAGTAGATGACCCGTTGTGTCCCCCCATGGATGAGAAATGAAGTGAGGATCCCCATACAGCCCAATTCCCCTCCCCCCATCAGTAGAGGACTTGCTGTGTCCCCCCCAATTCCCCTCCCCCCCCCATATTCTCTCTGATTGACCTTACATGGCTGCTGTCTGTCAGATGTGGAGAATGAGCAGCTGGATGTCTGTTATTAGAGCCGGGATTTATGACACCATTTCCTGCCGCTGGCTCCCCGCCCGTCATGTTCCCACTTCATCCAACCCGGAGGTGAGAGCCGGCTTCCTGAGTCCTGGGGATGGATGGATGGATGGCTCGGGGGGGGGGGGGGGGGGGGGGACCAGAACTAAGGGATCAAAAATCCTCTCCTACAAAACAGTGACAGCCAACCTATGAGTAGTAGGGGCCCTCAACTGGGACCCCTGATGTCACCAAGGGCCACACATAATATTCAGCAAATGTAATGCAGGGGATGACCAGGGACTGCGGGACACAGTACAGGAGATGACCAGAGACTGCAGACATAGTACAGGAGATGACCAGAGACTGCGGACACAGTACAGGAGATGACCAGAGACTGCGGACCTGCAGACGTTGGCCAGAGACTACAGACACAGTACAGGAGATGACCAGAGACTGCGGACACAGTACAGGAGATGACCAGAGACTGCAGACACAGTACAGGAGATGACCAGAGACTGCAGACATAGTACAGGAGATGACCAGAGACTGCGGACACGGTACAGGGATGACCAGAGACTGCGGACACAGTACAGGAGATGACCAGAGACTGCAGACACAGTACAGGGAATGACCAGAGACTGCGGACACAGTACAGGAGATAACCGGAGACTGCGGACACAGTACAGGAGACGACCAGAGACTGCAGATATAGTACAGGAGATGATCAGAGACTGCGGACACAGTACAGGAGATGACCAGAGACTGCGGACACAGTACAGGAGACGACCAGAGACTGCAGATATAGTACAGGAGATGACCGGAGACTGCGGACACAGTACAGGAGATGACCAGAGACTGCGGACACAGTACAGGAGATGACCAGAGAGACTGCAGACACAGTACAGGAGATGACCAGAGACTGCGGACACAGTACAGGAGATGACCAGAGACTGCGGACATAGTACAGGAGATGACCAGAGGCTGCGGACACAGTACAGGAGATGACCAGAGACTGCGGACACAGTACAGGAGATGACCAGAGACTGCGGACACAGTACAGGAGATGACCAGAGACTGCGGACATAGTACAGGAGATGACCAGAGACTGCGGACATAGTACAGGAGATGACCAGAGACTGCGGACATAGTACAGGAGATGACCAGAGACTGCGGACATAGTACAGGAGACGACCGGAGACTGAGGACATAGTACAGGAGATGACCAGAGACTGCAGACACAGTACAGGAGACGACCAGAGACTGCGGACATAGTACAGGAGATGACCAGAGACTGCGGACACAGTACAGGGGATGACCAGAGACTGCGGACATAGTACAGGAGATGACCAGAGACTGCGGACACAGTACAGGGAATGACCAGAGACTGCAGACATAGTACAGGAGATAACCGGAGACTGCGGACACAGTACAGGAGACGACCAGAGACTGCAGATATAGTACAGGAGATGATCAGAGACTGCGGACACAGTACAGGAGATGACCGGAGACTGCGGACACAGTACAGGAGATGACCAGAGACTGCGGACACAGTACAGGAGATGACCAGAGACTGCGGACATAGTACAGGAGATGACCGGAGACTGCGGACATAGTACAGAGATGACCAGAGACTGCGGACACAGTACAGGAGATGACCAGAGACTGCGGACACAGTACAGGAGATGACCAGAGACTGCGGACACAGCACAGGAGATGACCAGAGACTGCGGACACAGTACAGGAGATGACCAGAGACTGCGGACACAGTACAGGAGATGACCAGAGACTGCGGACATAGTACAGGAGATGACCAGAGACTGCGGACATAGTACAGGAGATGACCAGAGACTGCAGACATAGTACAGGAGATGACCAGAGACTGCAGACATAGTACAGGAGATGACCAGAGACTGCAGACATAGTACAGGAGATGACCAGAGACTGCAGACATAGTACAGGAGATGACCAGAGACTGCGGACACAGTACAGGAGATGACCAGAGACTGCGGACATAGTACAGGGGATGACCAGAGACTGCGGACACAGTACAGGAGATGACCAGAGACTGCGGACACAGTACAGGAGATGACCAGAGACTGCGGACATAGTACAGGAGATGACCAGAGACTGCGGACATACCTCCTCCAGACCCTGCACTTTCTGCTTCCCAGCTCCGCCCCCAGCTTTTTTCCCGGCAGCATAGAGGAGGACAGAACTCCCCCTACAGATCCTGCACCTCTCTGTGTAGCCGGAGCACCCCCTCGTCTCCACCTCCCCTGGTCCCAGCACTCAGCAAACTCCAGAAGCTGACCCCAGCCCTCCTCTGGTCCTCCTCCAGACCCTGCACGTTCTGCTTCCCAGCCCCGCCCCCAGCTTCTTCCCTGCAACACAAGGTAAGGGGTTGCACTGTGATGTAAGAGATGGTGGGCTTCTCTTTTACTCCTGAGGGGGGGCGGCTCTTGACATTTGAGGTAAAAGCTGGGCACACATAATGCTGATGCTGTTTGCCATGTAGAATACAGGAGAGTTCTTTTATTACCCGCCATCAACCTACACAGCACATATATATCCACACCAGGCCCCGCCCCCGAGGAGCAATCTAAGGTCCCTACATCACATTCATACTATACAGCCACTCACATTGGGTCATATTCTGGGGGTTCTGGTTGTGTTCGGGGTGCAGCCGCCATGTTTGTTCTGTACATATAGAACGGCTGGGAACCGTCACTCACATTGGGTCATGTTTTGGGGGTTCTGGTTGTGTTCGGGGGTGCAGCCGCCATGTTTTTGTTCCGTACATATAGAACGGCTGGATCCGTCACTCACATTGGGTCATGTTCTGGGGGTTCTGGTTGTGTTCGGGGTGCAGCCGCCATGTTTGTTCTGTACATATAGAACAGCTGGAACCGTCACTCACATTGGGTCATGTTTTGGGGGTTCTGGTTGTGTTCGGGGTGCAGCCGCCATGTTTGTTCTGTACATATAGAACGGCTGGAACCGTCACTCACATTGGGTCATGTTTTGGGGGTTCTGGTTGTGTTCGGGGTGCAGCCGCCATGTTTGTTCTGTACATATAGAACGGCTGGAACCGTCACTCACATTGGGTCATGTTTTGGGGGTTCTGGTTGTGTTTGGGGTGCAGCCGCCATGTTTGTTCTGTACATATAGAACGGCTGGAACCGTCACTCTCATTGGGTCATGTTTTGGGGGTTCTGGTTGTGTTCGGGGTGCAGCCGCCATGTTTGTTCTGTACATATAGAACGGCTGGAACCGTCACTCTCATTGGGTCATGTTTTGGGGGTTCTGGTTGTGTTCGGGGTGAAGCCGCCATGTTTGTTTCTGTACATATAGAACGGCTGGAACCGTCACTCTCATTGGGTCATGTTTTGGGGGTTCTGGTTGTGTTTGGGGTGCAGCCGCCATGTTTGTTCTGTACATATAGCACGGCTGGAACCGTCACTCTCATATTGGGTCATGTTTTGGGGGTTCTGGTTGTGTTCGGGGTGCAGCCGCCATGTTTGTTCTGTACATATAGAACGGCTGGAACCGTCACTCTCATTGGGTCATGTTTTTGGGGTTCTGGTTGTGTTTGGGGTGCAGCCGCCATGTTTGTTCTGTACATATAGCACGGCTGGAACCGTCACTCTCATTGGGTCATGTTTTGGGGGTTCTGGTTGTGTTCGGGGTGCAGCCGCCATGTTTGTTCTGTACATATAGAACGGCTGGAACCGTCACTCTCACATTCGGATCAAAACCCCAAACTCTGGATCCCTCCCCTACCCCCCCGTGTTCTACAATACAGATGGCACCTCTGGAGTCTGACCTCTCTTCTCTGCCAGGGCCGTCTTAATAGTATCATGGGCCCCTGGGCAAAGTAATGCCCTGGGGCCCCTACCAGCCAGCCCCCAATCTACACACCGACTCTCAAGACTTAAAGTGTACATAGATGATAGGATGAGATCTATTTATTATTAGGACTTTCAGTAAAATTCATCTATAAACATAAGAAAACGAGCCATAAATCAGAGACTGATCAACACAAAGGGCACAGTATGGGGGGGGGGCACAGTACAGGGGGGGGAGTCAGGAGGGCACAGTACAGGGGGGGGGGAGTCAGGAGGGCACAGTACAGGGGGGGGGGTCAGGAGGGCACAGTACAGGGGGGGTCAGGAGGGCACAGTACAGGGGGGGTCAGGAGGGCACAGTACAGGGAGGGGTCAGGAGGGGGGTCACAGTATGGGGGGGGGGGCACAGAACAGGGGGGAGTCAGGAGGGCACAGTACAGGGGGGAGTCAGGAGGGCACAGTACAGGGGGGGGAGTCAGGAGGGCACAGTACAGGGGGGGGGGGGAGTCAGGAGGGCACAGTACAGGGGGGTGGATTTAGGAGGGCACAGTACAGGGAGGAGTCAGGAGGGCACAGTATGGGGGGGCACAGAACAGGGGGGGAGTCAGGGGGGCACAGTATGGGGGGGGAGTCAGGGTAGGGCACAGTACGGGGCACAGTACGGGGGGGGAGTCAGGAGGGCACAGTACGGGGGGGAGTCAGGAGGGCACGGTACAGGGGGGAGTCAGGAGGGCAGGGCACAGTACAGGGGGGGAGTCAGGAGGGCACAGTACAGTGGGGAGTCAGGAGGGCACAGTACAGGGGGAGTCAGGAGGGCACAGTACAGGGGGGGGGGGGGTCAGGAGGAGGGAACAGTACAGGGGGAGTCAGGAGGGAACAGTACAGGGGGAGTCAGGAGGGACCAGTACAGGGGGGAGTCAGGAGGGCACAGTACAGGGGGGGGGGTCAGGAGGGGGAACAGTACAGGGGGAGTCAGGAGGGCACAGTACAGGGGGAGTCAGGAGGGCACAGTACAGGGGGGAGTCAGGGGGGCACAGTACAGGGAGTCAGGAGGGCACAGTACAGGGGGGGGAGTCAGGAGGGAACAGTACAGGGGGAGTCAGGAGGGCACAGTACAGGGGGGGAGTCAGGAGGGTACAGTACAGGGGGAGTCAGGAGGGCACAGTACAGGGGGATCAGGAGGGCACAGTACAGGGGGAGTCAGGGGGGCACAGTACAGGGGAGTCAGGAGGGCACAGTACAGGGGGGAGTCAGGAGGGCACAGTACAGGGGGAGTCAGGAGGGCCCAATTTTGGGATCGGGAGGGCACAGTCCAGGTTCTGGGATACTGCCTGGGTCATCCCGGGACAGCTTAGTAAAAAGCGTGACTGTCCCAGAAAATCCTGGACAACTGGCAAAATATAAATAATGGAAGAGTATCCTGGGGCCCCCCATGCACCTGGGGCCCCTGGGCAGTGCCCATGCATTAACAGACAGCTCTGCTCTCTGCACAGTCAGGCGTTTGCAGGGGGTTTATAACTGTCACTGTACAGGATGGGGGTTCTCGCTGATTAGATATCCCAGAACTGTCACTGATTGGGATTCACAAAGTCTCTGCATACCCATGTCCATTGAGAAGACAGTTGAGAAGACAGTTGAGGTGTCCCCCCCGTCCCCTCCCCCATGAAGGTCTATATATATTAAACATATGGCCTTCCTTCCACACTATACTGCTCATGTACATTCAGAATTAACCCCCTCCTGACTGGATCATGGCCGACCTGGACTGTGATCTTCCTGCTCTTCCTGACAGTCTGATCCAGACCTCCTCCTCCTCCTGACACCGATACTAATCATCCCGTTCTGCTGTGTTTACCATCAATGGCGGGATATGGATGAAAAATGTTCATCGTGTTGTAGAAATAAAGAGATCTGGGGTAAGATGAGCAATCAGCGGCAAGCATGTACCCCCCCCCCAGCCCCATGTATCCAGCCGCCTTTGTCTGGGGCTTTTAGTGCACAATGACCCCAGAGGGCCACATCCTGCCATTACCAGCCGCTACATTGTACATTCCAGTTTATGGCCGCTGATAGGAATACAATGCAAACAGACACAGAAAATCAATATTTGTCATTCAATTTGTGGCTGTGAGGGACGTGGTACACCAGGTATCCGGACTCACCTCTGGCCCAGAGATGCCGCGTGTAAGGCGATGCGAGATGGAAAGTCCCGGAGATTGGTGGACGGGTAGGCATGGAGAGGAACCAGGAGGGTCTCATCACTCTGGGAACACGGCAATGCCGGGACAGCAGAGGACAGAAGAGGACAGAAGAGGACACAACGGTCATTACAAGTCATCACCGGGATACATTTATAACAAAACAACGTAGTGCAGCGCTAAAAAGAATAAATCAAATAAATTGCCTTCATGATGAATACAATAGAATAAAGTTCATGGATGTATGGTCATCAAATCGAAATGTTCCAAAAGTGACAATAGTGCTCTGAAGGTGCCTGCTTCAAAAATATTCCGGTGCTCGTGCAGATGGAAATAATAAAATTGCGCACTCACCAGATGCACAACTTTAATGCACATATATATATAGGTATAGATGTCCTCTCAATGGGATCAGCTGGTAATCTGCGGTCGGGGTCCTACTGGCTCCTCTGTCTACAATCCAGGAATTGAAAAACCTTTCTAAGAAATATACCAAGGGCTAAGTACCCAGAGAGGGGATCTCCTGTACACCCAGGATACGGCATCCACCAAACCCTGTAGGGGACATCTGGCTGTCTTGGATCAACATTAAGCCCTGGAATTGCCCGTTGCGTCACCTACCCTTCAGAGGGAGGATCACCTATCGTCTGTTCTACCCTGATCCCATTGAGAGGACAACTATACCTATATATATATATGCACATTAAAGTTGTGCGTCTGGTGAGTGCGCAATTTTATTATTTCCATCTGCACGAGCACCGGAATATTTTTTGAAGCAGGCACCTTCAGAGCACTATTGTCACTTTTGGAACATTCAGATTTGAGGATCATACATCCATGAACTTTATTCTATTGTATCATAAAGGCAATTTATTAGATTTCTTCTTTTTAGCGCTGCACTACGTTGTGTTATTCTGATTTACAGGTTTTATTTACCTACCGTGCATAGCTGCTACTTGTAGTGCGCTCACATACCTGGGGATATATTTATAGACATCACACAACCATCTGATGAAGGGGAAATGTTCAGGATCAAATGTATAGAATCCATCTTCAGGTCCGAACCCCCCAAAGTCACTTCCTATATTTCACATAAACCAGATTTCTGGAGTTCAATGAGTGACATGACAACCGACCAATGGCCATCTTCTGGCTCAGTTATGATTGGTTGTTGTGGGATGATGCAGAGCTTTGGTAAATACGGTAACTACGTGTCACATATTTATAAAGAGGTGAATGTGACTTTCACTGAACACTCACAGGTGGTGAATCATTCCCTGTCATATAGGACACAGGGACCTTGCAGGTTCACCCGCATTGAATGTTTGGTGAATGTCAGATTCTCTGATTGTGTGTAATAGGAAAAGGTACAATGGGTACAGACTGTTGATCAGTGGAAGCAAAACCAGAGATAGGAGACACCAGTGATTGGTGGAGGATCAATCTGTGTCACAATCCATAGTTATTGCAGTGATGGATCATGCGGGTGAGTGCATTGGGCAGCCAATCCCAGACTGATCTCAGGGGAATGACAGCGAAGATGCAACCTGACCAACAGATATGTCCACCAAAATCAATCAGCTCAAGGGCGTCTGCACAGGATGGGCGTCTGGCAAGGGATGGGGCGTCTGGCAAGGGATGGGGCGTCTGGCAAGGGATGGGGCGTCTGGCAAGGGATGGGCGTCTGCACAGGATGGGCGTCTGGCAAGGGATGGGGCGTCTGCACAGGATGGGCGTCTGGCAAAGGATGGGCGTCTGGCACAGGATGGGGCGTCTGGCAAAGGATGGGGCGTCTGGCACAGGATGGGCGTCTGGCAAAGGATGGGCGTCTGGCACAGGATGGGGCGTCTGGCAAAGGATGGGGCGTCTGGCAAAGGATGGGGCGTCTGGCAAAGGATGGGCGTCTGGCACAGGATGGGGCGTCTGGCAAAGGATGGGGCGTCTGGCAAAGGATGGGGCGTCTGGCAAAGGATGGGGCGTCTGGCACAGGATGGGGCGTCTGGCAAAGGATGGGGCGTCTGGCAAAGGATGGGGCGTCTGGCAAAGGATGGGGCGTCTGGCAAAGGATGGGGCGTCTGGCAAAGGATGGGGCGTCTGGCACAGGATGGGCGTCCACATAAGTAGGGCATCTGAGCACATTCATCATGCCCACAGGCTGTGTGCCTGCACAGGTCAGGTCTCCCACATGTTGGGTATCCCCACAGGCTGGGTGCATGTGTAGGTCGGGTATCCCACATCTTGGGTGTCCCTAAAGATTGGGTGTCCACATAGGTTGGGTATCTCCACAGGGTGGGTGCATGTGTAGGTTAGGTATCCCACATCTTGGGTGTCCCTATAGATTGGGTGTCCCTATAGATTGGGTGTCCCCACAGGCTGGGTGTATGTACAAGGTCAGGTATCCCACATCTTGGGTGTCCCTATAGATTGGGTGTCCCCACAGGCTGGGCATTCATGCAGGATGGGAGTCGGCATACACAGGTCAGCTAAGCTCGTTGTTCACCCCCTCAGGCTGGGTATCTGCTTAGGTCGAGGGTCTGCACAGGTTGGGTGTCCCCCAAAGGTAGCTCATCCATATAGGATGGGTGTCTGCCTAGGTAGGGCTCACAATGGGTGCAATGGGTGTCCTCACAGGTCCCGCATCTAAACAGGATGGGTGTCTGTATAGGTAGGGCGTAGCGCACAGTGGGTGTCCCTATAGGTTGGGTGTGCTTCACAGACACAACAGATTTCTTATTGGCTGAAACGGGTGAATCTTGTCTCCAAATATCACCCAAACCGTCCTCTCCGCTCCTCCCACAACCTCCTGCACTCTATCCTCCTGTCTCCTCCTCCCATGCTCATCTCCAGGACTTCTCCAGAGCCTCCCCCATCCTCTGGAACTCTCTACCCCAATCTATCCGACTATTGCCTACTCTGCCCACTTTTAGGTGAGCTCTGAAAACCGATCTCTTCAGGGAAGCCTATCCTGCCCTCAGCTAATAATGGAATCTTCTACTCCACCTACCAGTCCATCCCCCACAGATACTACCTTTTGTACCACCAGCCCCTCCCTCTTAGATTGTAAAATCCTAGGACCAGCCCCTCCCTCTTAGATTGTAAGCTCCCGGGACCAGCCCCTCCCTCTTAGATTGTAAAATCCTAGGACCAGCCCCTCCCTCTTAGATTGTAAGCTCCCGGGACCAGCCCCTCCCTCTTAGATTGTAAAATCCTAGGACCAGCCCCTCCCTCTTAGATTGTAAGCTCCCGGGACCAGCCCCTCCCTCTTAGATTGTAAAATCCTAGGACCAGCCCCTCCCTCTTAGATTGTAAGCTCCCGGGACCAGCCCCTCCCTCTTAGATTGTAAAATCCTAGGACCAGCCCCTCCCTCTTAGATTGTAAGCTCCCGGGACCAGCCCCTCCCTCTTAGATTGTAAAATCCTAGGACCAGCCCCTCCCTCTTAGATTGTAAGCTCCCGGGACCAGCCCCTCCCTCTTAGATTGTAAAATCCTAGGACCAGCCCCTCCCTCTTAGATTGTAAACTCCCAGGATCAGCCCCTCCCTCTTAGATTGTAAACTCCCAGGATCAGCCCCTCCCTCTTAGATTGTAAGCTCCCAGGATCATCCCCTCCCTCTTAGATTGTAAGCTCCCAGGATCAGCCCCTCCCTCTTAGATTGTAAACTCCCAGGATCAGCCCCTCCCTCTTAGATTGTAAGCTCCCGGGATCAGCCCCTCCCTCTTAGATTGTAAGCTCCCAGGATCAGCCCCTCCCTCTTAGATTGTAAACTCCCGGGATAAGGCCCTCCCTCTTAGATTGTAAGCTCCCAGGATCAGCCCCTCCCTCTTAGATTGTAAGCTCCCAGGATCAGCCCCTCCCTCTTAGATTGTAAGCTCCCAGGATCAGCCCCTCCCTCTTAGATTGTAAACTCCCGGGATCAGCCCCTCCCTCTTAGATTGTAAACTCCCGGGATCAGCCCCTCCCTCTTACATTGTAAGCTCCCGGGATCAGGCCCTCCCTCTTAGATTGTAAGCTCCCGGGATCAGCCCCTCCCTCTTAGATTGTAAGCTCCCGGGATCAGCCCCTCCCTCTTAGATTGTAAGCTCCCGGGATCAGCCCCTCCCTCTTAGATTGTAAGCTCCCGGGATCAGCCCCTCCCTCTTAGATTGTAAGCTCCCGGGATCAGCCCCTCCCTCTTAGATTGTAAACTCCCAGGATCAGCCCCTCCCTCTTAGATTGTAAGCTCCCAGGATCAGCCCTCCCTCTTAGATTGTAAGCTCCCAGGATCATCCCCTCCCTCTTAGATTGTAAGCTCCCAGGATCAGCCCCCTCCCTCTTAGATTGTAAGCTCCCGGGATCAGCCCCTCCCTCTTAGATTGTAAGCTCCCGGGATCAGCCCCTCCCTCTTAGATTGTAAGCTCCCGGGATCAGCCCCTCCCTCTTAGATTGTAAGCTCCCGGGATCAGCCCCTCCCTCTTAGATTGTAAACTCCCAGGATCAGCCCCTCCCTCTTAGATTGTAAGCTCCCGGGATCAGCCCCTCCCTCTTAGATTGTAAGCTCCCAGGATCAGCCCCTCCCTCTTAGATTGTAAACTCCCGGGATCAGGCCCTCCCTCTTAGATTGTAAGCTCCGGGATCAGCCCCTCCCTCTTAGATTGTAAACTCCCGGGATCAGGCCCTCCCTCTTAGATTGTAAACTCCCGGGATCAGCCCCTCCCTCTTAGATTGTAAGCTCCCAGGATCATCCCCTCCTCTTAGATTGTAAGCTCCCAGGATCAGCCCCTCCCTCTTAGATTGTAAACTCCCGGGATCAGGCCCTCCCTCTTAGATTGTAAGCTCCCGGGATCAGCCCTCCCTCTTAGATTGTAAGCTCCCGGAATCAGCCCCTCCCTCTTAGATTGTAAGCTCCCGGGATCAGCCCCTCCCTCTTAGATTGTAAGCTCCCGGGATCAGCCCCTCCCTCTTAGATTGTAAGCTCCCGGGATCAGGCCCTCCCTCTTAGATTGTAAGCTCCCGGGATCAGCCCCTCCCTCTTAGATTGTAAGCTCCCGGGATCAGGCCCTCCCTCTTAGATTGTAAGCTCCCAGGATCAGGCCCTCCCTCTTAGATTGTAAACTCCCAGGATCAGCCCCTCCCTCTTAGATTGTAAGCTCCCGGGATCAGCCCCTCCCTCTTAGACTGTAAGCTCCCAGGATCAGCCCCTCCCTCTTAGATTGTAAGCTCCCAGGATCAGCCCCTCCCTCTTAGATTGTAAACTCCCAGGATCAGCCCCTCCCTCTTAGATTGTAAGCTCCCGGGATCAGCCCCTCCCTCTTAGATTGTAAACTCCCAGGATCAGCCCCTCCCTCTTAGATTGTAAACTCCCAGGATCAGCCCCTCCCTCTTAGATTGTAAGCTCCCAGCAAACTGTTGGCGCCATAAATCCTGTATGATAATAATAATACCCACTGGGAGGCTGGATAGGCTTCCATGAAGGGCTGGGTTTTAGGTGGAGCTGGGATAGGCTTCCATGAAGGGATGGGTTTTCTGGGGTCACCTGAAGGTAGGGCCGGTGTCACCAATGGAAGGTTTCCCCTCTATTCTTGTTCATTTTCTATCCCATCGATTCCGGGAAGAATGGGGGGAGGGGAATCTCACGCTGGATATGACTTCCCCACTCCATCCCAAACTGAAACACTTCTTGTCTTTCGATACACTTTCATTTATATCCACCCAAATGTCACCTTCATACGGTCCCTGTAGAGGAGCCTTCACTCCACACAATGAGAACTGCAATCAATAACTTTATTGACACACATTGGAGGGGACAGATGTCGGCTCCATCATATACTACCTTGCAGTGGATGCGGATGCAGTCATAGTAATATCTCCACTCATCCGGAATGAACTGAACCTGGACAGTGAAGGCCAAACCCGGGACAAGTCTGTTCTGTGAATGAGATGTAGGAGAGGTCAGCGGGACTTCACAGTACCTCCAGGACAAAAGTATGAGGGATCATCCAATGGGACGGAATGGGGGAGGATTCCTGAGACCTATATACTTCACTTCACCCCCAAAATCTACGTTGGTCCTCGCCGAAGCCCCCTCAGTCTACGTTGGTCCTCGCCGAAGCCCCCTCAGTCTACGTCGGCCCTCGCCGAAGCCCCCTCAGTCTACGTCGGCCCTCGCCGAAGCCCCCTCAGTCTACGTCGGCCCTCGCCGAAGCCCCCCTCAGTCTACGTCGGCCCTCGCCGAAGCCCCCTCAGTCTGCGTCGGCCCTCGCCGAAGCCCCCTCAGTCTGCGTCGGCGCTCGCCGAAGCCCCCTCAGTCTGCGTCGGCGCTCGCCGAAGCCCCCTCAGTCTACGTCGGCCCTCGCCGAAGCCCCCTCAGTCTACGTCGGCCCTCGCCGAAGCCCCCTCAGTCTACGTCGGCGCTCGCCGAAGCCCCCTCAGTCTACGTCGGCCCTCGCCGAAGCCCCCTCAGTCTACGTCGGCCCTCGCCGAAGCCCCCTCAGTCTACGTCGGCCCTCGCCGAAGCCCCCTCAGTCTACGTCGGCCCTCGCCGAAGCCCCCTCAGTCTACGTCGGCCCTCGCCGAAGCCCCCTCAGTCTACGTCGGCCCTCGCCGAAGCCCCCTCAGTCTACGTCGGCCCTCGCCGAAGCCCCCTCAGTCTACGTCGGCCCTCGCCGAAGTCTACGTCGGCCCTCGCCGAAGCCCCCTCAGTCTACGTCGGCCCTCGCCGAAGCCCCCTCAGTCTACGTCGGCCCTCGCCGAAGCCCCCTCAGTCTACGTCGGCCCTCGCCGAAGCCCCCTCAGTCTACGTCGGCCCTCCCGAAGCCCCCTCAGTCTACGTCGGCCCTCCCCGAAGCCCCCTCAGTCTACGTCGGCCCTCCCCGAAGCCCCCTCAGTCTACGTCGGCCCTCCCCGAAGCCCCTCTCAGTCTACGTCGGCCCTCACCGAAGCCCCCTCAGTCTACGTCGGTCCTCACCGAAGCCCCCTCAGTCTACGTCGGTCCTCACCGAAGCCCCCTCAGTCTACGTCGGTCCTCACCGAAGCCCCCTCAGTCTACGTCGGTCCTCACCGAGAAGCCCCCTCAGTCTACGTCGGTCCTCACCGAAGCCCCCTCAGTCTACGTCGGTCCTCACCGAAGCCCCCTCAGTCTACGTCGGTCCTCACCGAAGCCCCCTCAGTCTACGTCGGTCCTCACCGAAGCCCCCTCAGTCTACGTCGGTCCTCACCGAAGCCCCCTCAGTCTACGTCGGTCCTCACCGAAAGTCTACGTCCCTCGAAGCCCCCTCAGTCTACGTCGGTCCTCACCGAAGCCCCCTCAGTCTACGTCGGTCCTCACCGAAGCCCCCTCAGTCTACGTCGGTCCTCACCGAAGCCCCCTCAGTCTACGTCGGTCCTCACCGAAGCCCCCTCAGTCTACGTCGGTCCTCACCGAAGCCCCCTCAGTCCTCACTGAAGCCCCCTCAGTCTACGTCAGTCCTCACTGAAGCCCCCTCAGTCCTCACTGAAGCCCCCTCAGTCAATATATAGACAATATTTCCGCAGAAAGTCGTCAAATCCGGATCTCAGTCTGAACAATATAAGAAGAGGAGCAGAGAAGTGACCCAGGTACGGATTTAACCCCTTCCCCCACACAGGTAAGGGGGTGGGAGGGTCTGCCTAATCAAGCGACCACTGTGATTGGCTGTCATAGTTGTCATATGATTGGCAGACGGTCCCGTCGGTTTCCATCCATTAGCACAGACTGAGAGCCGCCTTCGACAACACGGTCTCGGTGCGTGCAGCGGACGCACTGTCAGTGCAGCAACCTATGGTGCCCATAGACACACATGTGAGGCCACCACACATCTGCATTACACGGAAGAGTTCTGGTGGTGGGGGGGAGAGAGGCGGTCTGGGGGGGTCTGGAGCTGATGGACGGGTAAAGCGGCCTTACCTACAACAGACTGAAGACCCCAATCATGGGCACCAACAAGCAGGGCCCCTTCCAAATCATGGAAGGGGGGCTGTCATGTAGTTTGGGGGGCCCCGTGATTTCTAATGGCGGCCCTGACACTAGACCTTGTGTGGGCGGAGATTGGATGGACGGAGATTGGATGGACGGAGATTGGATGGACGGAGATTGGATGGACGGAGATTGGATGGAGGGAGATTGGATGGACGGAGATTGGATGGAGGGAGATTGGATGGAGGGAGATTGGATGGAGGGAGATTGGATGGAGGGAGGGGTTCTGCACAGGAGGTACTCACGGCTTTCTTGTAGCTGATGGTGAAGTGTTTGCTCTGCGGGGGAATGATGTGAACATTGGAGACGTCCGGAGAGACATTCACCAGCTTCTGTACGAGAAACAAAACATTCACCTCACTCACAAATCCTCAACACCATCCGGTGAATCCCCAGCAGGTCCGGGATCCCATACTGGGACTGGGGGGGTCTCATACCGGGACTGGGGGGTCTCATATCCGCACCCTGGACACTCTGCTCCTCCCTCCTCCGGGGGCCCCGGGCTCTGGACACTCTGCTCCTCCCTCCTCTGGGGCCCCGGGCTCTGGACACTCTGCTCCTCCCTCCTTCGGGGCCCGGGCTCTGGACACTCTGCTCCTCCCTCCTCCGGGGCCCCGGGCTCTGGACACTCTGCTCCTCCCTCCACCGGGGCCCCGGGCTCTGGACACTCTGCTCCTCCCTCCTTCGGGGCCCCGGGCTCTGGACACTCTGCTCCTCCCTCCTCCGGGGCCCCGGGCTCTGGACACTCTGCTCCTCCCTCCTCCGGGGCTCTGGACACTCTGCTCCTCCCTCCTCCGGGGCCCCGGGCTCTGGACACTCTGCTCCTCCCTCCTCCGGGGCCCCGGGCTCTGGACACTCTGCTCCTCCCTCCTCCGGGGCCCCGGGCTCTGGACACTCTGCTCCTCCCTCCTCCGGGGCCCCGGGCTCTGGACACTCTGCTCCTCCGGGGCCCAGGGCTCTGGACACTCTGCTCCTCCCTCCTTCGGGGCCCCGGGCTCTGGACACTCTGCTCCTCCCTCCTCCGGGGCTCTGGACACTCTGCTCCTCCCTCCTCCGGGGCCCGGGCTCTGGACACTCTGCTCCTCCCTCCTCCGGGGCCCCGGGCTCTGGACACTCTGCTCCTCCCTCCTCCGGGGCCCCGGGCTCTGGACACTCTGCTCCTCCCTCCTCCGGGGCCCCGGGCTCTGGACACTCTGCTCCTCCGGGGCCCAGGGCTCTGGACACTCTGCTCCTCCCTCCTTCGGGGCCCCGGGCTCTGGACACTCTGCTCCTCCCTCCTCTGGGGCCCCGGGCTCTGGACACTCTGCTCCTCCCTCCTCCGGGGCCCCGGGCTCTGGACACTCTGCTCCTCCCTCCTCCGGGGCCCCGGGCTCTGGACACTCTGCTCCTCCCTCCTCCGGGGCCCCGGGCTCTGGACACTCTGCTCCTCCCTCCTCCGGGGCCCCGGGCTCTGTAAACTCAGAGGTCAGCACACACACTGGCAGATGGGCGTTGCTGGGATTGGGGGAGGGGTGCAGACATTTCACTTGCCCCCCCCCATAATACCATAGAAGAATAGGAATGGGACTCACTAGAACCTGCCGGAGACATTTCCCGACTTCATATCCCCCAAAATGGAGGACAGCAGGCTCCGCCTCCACGGATCCATTCCGACCGAGCTTGGTGTAAATCTCTGAAAGACAGAAATATTCTGAACATCAGACAATGGGGCGAGGTGGGCGATGTACAGGAAAAATGGGTGTAATGGGTGATAGTGTGAGGTACATAGCGGGTGTAGCAGATGTAATGGGCAAGGTGTACATGAGTTGTACAGGGTGTGATATTTGGGGTGTAGTATGCGGGGTGTAGTACGCGGGGGGGGGGGGGGTATGTGCGATATAGTATGTGGGGTATTTGGGGTGTGATATTTGGGGTGTAATATGCATGATGTGATATTTGGGGTGTAGTATGTGAGGTGTAGTATGCGGGGTGTGTGAGGTTTGATACTTGGGGTGTATGATTCAGGATGTAGTAGTATGTGTAGTATGCGGGGTGTATGATTTGGGGTGTAGTATGCGGGGTGTGGTATTTGGGGTGTATGATTGGGGTGTAATATGCGGGGTGTGATATTTGGGGTGTAGTATGCGGGGTGTGATATTTGGGGTGTAGTATGCGGGGTGTATGATTTGGGGTGTAGTATGCGGGGTGTATGATTTGGGGTGAGGTATGCGGGGTGTGGTATGCAGGGTGTGATATGCGGGGTGTGGTATGCGGGGTGTGGTATTTGGGGTGTGATATTTGGGAAGTGGTATGTGGGGGTGTGGTATGCGGGGTGTGATATTTGGGGTGTGGTATGCGGGTGTGATATTTGGGGTGTGGTATGCAGGGTGTGATATTTGGGGTGTGGTATGCGGGGTGTGATATTTGGGGTGTGGTATGCGGGGTGTGATATTTGGGGTGTGCTATGTGGGGTGTATGATTTGGGGTGTGGTATGCGGGGTGTATGATTTGGGGTGAGGTATGCGGGGTGTGTGTATGCAGGGTGTGATATGCGGGGTGTGATATTTGGGAAGTGGTATGTGGGGTGTGATATGCGGGGTGTGGTATGGGGGTGTGGTATGCGGGGTGTTTTTTTTGGGTTTTTTTTTGTGTGGTATGTGGGGGTGTGATATTTGGGGTGTGGTATGCGGGTGTGTGATATTTGGGGTGTGGTATGCAGGGTGTGATATTTGGGGTGTTGTGTATGCAGGGGGTGATATTTGGGGTGTGGTGTGTATGCGGGGTGTGATATTTGGGGTGTGGTATGCGGGGTGTGATATTTGGGGTGTGCAATGTGGGGTGTATGATTTGGGGTGTGGTATTTGGGTGTGTGGTATGGGGGTGTGTGATATGCGGGGTGTGGTATGGGGGGTGTGATATTTGGGGTGTGGTATGCGGGGTGTTATATTTGGGGTGTGGTATGGGGGGTGTGGTATGCGGGGTGTGGTATGGGGGGTGTGGTATGCGGGGGGTGTATGATTTGGGGTGTGGTATGCGGGGTGTTATATTTGGGGTGTGGTATGGGGGGTGTGATATGCGGGGTGTGATATTTGGGGTTGGTGGGGGTGTTTATATTTGGGGTGTGGTATGCGGGGTGTGATATTCGGGGTGTGGTATGCGGGGTGTGATATTCGGGGGTGTTGTGGTATGTGGGGTGTGATATTTGGGGTGACACTGACTTGTCTCCAGCAGGTGGTCGGGCACAGGTCGCTGTGTCGGCTCCTCAGGGGTTGGGCTTCTCGTCGCCCTCTGGGGGTGATGTCGGGGGAGGGGGAAGGTGGGGGGATGGGCGACCTCCATGATGTCAGAGATCCGGGTCACCTGGAGAGAAATGACATCATCAACACAGAGCAAAGGGGACCCCAAAATATCCTCCCCTCCCCCCCACATGGGACTATCAGATGGGATTGTATGAGATCCAACCACAGGGGCCCCCAGGGGCCACACACCGATCGAGGAGAGGGGAGTACCGGGTGTCTGGGAGGGGGGGGAGGGGGGGAGTACCGGGTGTCTGGGAGGGGGAGGGGGTTGTACCGGGTGTCCGGGAGGGATGTCTGGGAGGGGGAGGGGAGTACCGGGTGTCTCGGGGGGGGAGGGGTGTACCGGGTGTCGGGGAGGGGTGTACTGGGTGTCTCGGAGGGGGGAGGGGTGTACCAGGTGTCCGGGAGGGGTGTCTGGGAGGGGGAGGGGAGTACCGGGTGTCTCGGAGGGGAGTACCGGGTGTCTGGGAGGGGGGAGGGGGGGTGTACCGGGTGTCGGGTAGGGGTGTACCGGATGTCTGGGAGGGGAGTACCGGGTGTCTCGGAGGGGGGAGGGGAGTAGTACCGGGTGTCGGGGAGGGGGTGTACCGGATGTCTGGGAGGGGAGTACCGGGTGTCTCGGAGGGGGGGGAGGGGAGGAGTACCGGGTGTCTCGGAGGGGGGAGGGGAGTACCGGGTGTCTGGGAGGGGGAGGGGTGTCCCGGGTGTCTCGGGTGTTCCGGGCTACTCTCTCCTCAGGAAGGACGCGTTGCCATAGAAACGCCGGACGTCTCCGTCCCTCCCACATACGGGGCGGGCCCTTCCTGAAAGAACCAATCTCTGAAAAGTAATGGGCGGGGTCTTATTGTTCGATCCTCCCACTGAGCTCGGAGAAGATAAGGAGGGAAATTGTATATATGTACCGACTGTATACCCCTCCCCCATCTATATACCCCTCCCCCATCTATATATCCCTCCCCATCTATATACCCCCCCTATATATACCCCCTCCCCCTCTATATACCCCTCCCCCATCTATATATCCCTCCCCCTCTATATACCCCTCCCCCATCTATATATCCCTCCCCATCTATATAGTACCCCCCTATATATACCCCTCCCCCTCTATATACCCCCCCCCCATCTATATATCCCTCCCCCTCTATATACCCCTCCCCCATCTATATACCCCCCCATCTATAAATACCCCTCCCCCATCTATATATCCCTCCCCATCTATATACCCCCCCTATATATACCCCTCCTACATCTATATACCCCCCCATCTATAAATACCCCTCCCCCCATCTATATATACCCCTCCCCCATCTATATACCCCCCATCTATATATACCCCTCCCCCATCTATATATATACCCCTCCCCCATCTATATACCCCTCCCCCATCTATATACCCCCTCCCTCTATATACCCCTCCCTCTATGTACGCACTGTATATACCCCCCTTCTGTACACTGTATGCCCTGTATATACCCCCTTCTGTACACTGTATGCCCTGTATATACCCCCTTCTGTATACTGTACGCTCTGTATATACCCCCCTTCTGTATACTGTACGCTCTGTATATACCCCCCTTCTGTATACTGTACACCCTGTATATACCCCCTTCTGTACACTGTACACTCTGTATATACCCCCTTCTGTATACTGTACGCCCTGTATATACCCCCCTTCTGTACACTGTACGCTCTGTATATACCCCCCTTCTGTACACTGTACGCCCTGTATATACCCCCCTTCTGTACACTGTACGCTCTGTATATACCCCCCTTCTGTACACTGTACGCCCTGTATATACCCCCCTTCTGTACACTGTACGCCCTGTATATACCCCCTTCTGTACACTGTACGCCCTGTATATACCCCCCTTCTGTACACTGTACGCCCTGTATATACCCCCCTTCTGTACACTGTACGCCCTGTATATACCCCCTTCTGTACACTGTACGCCCTGTATATACCCCCCTTCTGTACACTGTACGCCCTGTATATACCCCCCTTCTGTACACTGTACGCCCTGTATATTCCCCCTTCTGTATACTGTACGCCCTGTATATACCCCCTTCTGTATACTGTACGCTCTGTATATACCCCCCTTCTGTACACTGTACGCCCTGTATATACCCCCCTTCTGTACACTGTACGCCCTGTATATACCCCCCCTTCTGTACACTGTACGCCCCTCCCCCATACATTTATTATGAACACAGAAAAAATAAGCGAGCGCTAGGATGGCAGCGCTACTAATATCAACAATATCAACCAAATACAGATATCAACACACAAAGTGACGAGGTGCAAATACACAAACCACTATATGGGGGCCGAAGGTGCTAGAAGGTGCTGACCCAACTAACAGTCCACAAAAGAAAGGTGCTGATAAGATCTCAGATGATCTCCGGATATCCAGTGATAAGGACCGTGGATCCGGTGATAAGTACCGTGGATCCGGTGATAAGGACCGTGGATCCGGTGATAAGGACCGTGGATCCGGTGATAAGTACCGTGGATCCGGTGACAAGGACCGTGGATCCGGTGACAAGGACCGTGGATCCGGTGACAAGGACCGTGGATCCGGTGATAAGGACCGTGGATCCGGTGATAAGGACCGTGGATCCGGTGATAAGTACCGTGGATCCGGTGATAAGGACCGTGGATCCGGTGATAAGGACCGTGGATCCGGTGATAAGGACCGTGGATCCGGTGATAAGGATCCGGTGATAAGTGATTATAAGATTGCGCACTCACCAGAAACGCAAATCAAATGTGCATAAATAGTAGAAAACAACTGATCATCAGGATATCATCAGGTAGGTCTGGTCAGATTATCCCTCACTCCCTGGAGGTGCTCTCACACATGGGGGTCACCACACAATGGACGCATCCTGCTCACATGGGGGTCACCGCACAATGGACGCAGCCTGCTCACATGGGGGTCACCACACAATGGACGCATCCTGCTCACATGGGGGTCACCGCACAATGGACGCATCCTGCTCAGATGGGGGTCTCCTCACAATGGACGCATCCTGCTCACATGGGGGTCTCCTCACAATGGACGCATCCTGCTCACATGGGGGTCACCGCACAATGGATGCATCCTGCTCACATGGGGGTCACCGCACAATGGACGCATCCTGCTCACATGGGGGTCACCGCACAATGGACGCATCCTGCACACATGGGGGTCACCGCACAATGGACGCATCCTGCTCACATGGGGGTCACCGCACAATGGATGCATCCTGCTCACATGGGGGTCACCGCACAATGGATGCATCCTGCTCACATGGGGGTCACCGCACAATGGACGCATCCCGCTCACATGGGGGTCACCACACAATGGATGCATCCCGCTCACATGGGGGTCACCGCACAATGGACGCATCCTGCTCACATGGGGGTCACCGCACAATGGATGCATCCTGCTCACATGGGGGTCACCGCACAATGGACGCATCCCGCTCACATGGGGGTCACCGCACAATGGATGCATCCTGCTCACATGGGGGTCACCGCACAATGGATGCATCCTGCTCACATGGGGGTCACCACGCAATGGACGCATCCCGCTCACATGGGGGTCACCGCACAATGGATGCATCCTGCTCACATGGGGGTCACCGCACAATGGATGCATCCTGCTCACATGGGGGTCACCACGCAATGGACGCATCCCGCTCACATGGGGGGTCACCACACAATGGACGCATCCTGCACACATGGGGGTCACCGCACAATGGATGCATCCTGCTCACATGGGGGTCACCGCACAATGGACGCATCCTGCTCACATGGGGGTCACCGCACAATGGACGCATCCTGCTCACATGGGGGTCACCGCACAATGGACGCATCCTGCTCACATGGGGGTCACCGCACAATGGACGCATCCTGCACACATGGGGGTCACCGCACAATGGATGCATCCTGCTCACATGGGGGTCACCGCACAATGGACGCATCCTGCACACATGGGGGTCACCGCACAATGGACGCATCCTGCTCACATGGGGGTCACCGCACAATGGATGCATCCTGCTCACATGGGGGTCACCGCACAATGGACGCATCCTGCTCACATGGGGGTCACCGCACAATGGATGCATCCTGCTCACATGGGGGTCACCGCACAATGGATGCAGCGGGTGTAGTTGGCTCCCCAGAGAGCTCTCTGATCATTCAATCCCTCCTTCATTGTATGTATAGATCTACATTCTGGATGTGGGATTGGCAGGTTTGGAGGAATTTTCCGGCTCAGGTCTCAGAGCTCGAGGACTTCGGCTTTATATCTTCCATCAATGGCAGGGCCATCTTTAATATTGATTGGACCCGGGACCCGGGGCCCCCCATGACATTTTGCTCCCCACCTGCTCTGAGACATACAATAAATAGCAGCTAAACTCAAAATCAGTTCACTGCAGCAGATCAGGCAGACATTGCAACTAATTGCCGGAGGATACAGCACATCATTACCGCTCACTGATTGGTTGATGGAGGTTACAGCACACATTACGGCTCACTGATTGGTTCACGGAGGTTACAGCACACATTACGGCTCACTGATTGGTTCACGGAGGTTACAGCACACATTACGGCTCACTGATTGGTTCACGGAGGTTACAGCACACATTACGGCTCACTGATTGGTTCACGGAGGTTACAGCACACATTACGGCTCACTGATTGGTTGACGGAGGTTACAGCACACATTACGGCTCACTGATTGGTTCACGGAGGTTACAGCACACATTACGGCTCACTGATTGGTTGACGGAGGTTACAGCACACATTACGGCTCACTGATTGGTTGACGGAGGTTACAGCACACATTACGGCTCACTGATTGGTTGACGGAGGTTACAGCACACATTACGGCTCACTGATTGGTTGACGGAGGTTACAGCACACATTACGGCTCACTGATTGGTTGACGGAGGTTACAGCACACATTACGGCTCACTGATTGGTTGAC